TATTCACTCTTTCTCATGTAGCGATTTCCTTATTAGTTATTTTGTTGTAATTCAAAAACGAATAACTGAAGATACATGAAAATTGCTCTGAATTTTTATATTAGCATTTCCTACACACCATACAATTTTGAAAATGTTTTGACTCTTTTTGAGCTGCTTACGGACATTTACAGTTTTAATTTTTTTTAGTTTTTTTTCTATAAATTGCAATAAAGATTATCTGGCCGAAAAGTGTAAAAATGTAATACAAGGCTCCTGATATATTGTTACATTATCAGTTGAAAAATATTTAAAATACATAGGCACAATTTTTTTTTATAAGCATTTAAACATCGAATTTTGACAAAATTTATCAAATTTAAAATTGAATAATTATTTTGTAGTTAAAAATTTATAAAATATTTAAATTTTATATCTAAGGATTGAAAATTTAAAACAAGATTCCACGTTAGTAGTTAATTCTGTTACCAAAAAATCTAAAAAATACAGAATCACAGTTTATTTTTATAGTCATTTTAAGTTCAAATTTAACGAAATTACATAATAAAAAAACTAGAATAACTATTTTAGTTATTTTGTTGTGTGTGTATAATATTATTCGTGGGTACTTTAAAGTTTAAACTTCTAAAGTACACTTTATATTATATCTATGATAGTATCAGGGTTTTTTTTCGATGTATAAAGCGTATAAGTGCCTAATGGATATTGTGATACGATTAATTTGGAATGTATTATAGGTTAGTATTTTTTTTAATACCATAAATAAGTATATAATATGTCTTATACCTAGACTGACATAGGTACCGTCTCCACTCAGAATCGTTTTCTTATACAATGATATTATATCATTGAATTCAAAATTAATACTATTATACAGTGACCCACTTGTAACCTACTGTACAGCAGAGCACCTTGTTTTTTTTTTTATTTGGGTCTGTGTACACGATGATAAGTAGTCGAAACAATGCTTCGATTTTCAACTTCAGTATCTTGTTCGATCAAAAAGTGAATATCGTTGGTGCATTAATTGGGGAGGTCAAAATTTATAATTCACTGTATTACTGTAATTTTCTAAAGCGCCAAGAAAAACAAAAGAATAAAACTTGAACTTTTACGCAAAATCGATTTTTCACAAAATTGAACTAGGTTTTTGGTGTAACTTTAAAACAAATGACCGCAGATACATTAAATTTTCATTGGTTGTTTATATTTGCATTTTCTATACATGATAACATTTTCAAAATATTTTGATTTATTTTGAACTGTTTAGGGACATTTTCATTATCCATTTGTTTTTAGTTTTTTTTCTATAAATATCAATACAATTTTATTTGTTGGTTAATAAAGCTTGAAAATAGAAGGCAAGATGAAAAATATTAAAAACCCTTAGGCACAGTTTTTTTTTACAAGCATTTAAAGTTCAAAAATTGACAAAATATGGAAAAATCATGAAAATTAACAAATTATTTTGAGTTAAGAAATCGTAAAAATTTTTCTTTTTAAATCTAAGATTTTAATTTTTAAAATGTAATACAAGATTCCTTATAAGGTACCTTATAGGCGTTAATGATAACATACAAACATTTTGAAGTGTGAAATTGGTAACAACTATTTTGTGGCAATATTTACCTGTACATTATTTTAATTAGGTAATAAAAATACAATTGGTAATAACATTATTCAATTATTGATGGAATTATAAACAAAATACTCTATATTATCATGTTTGTAAGTGAACTATTCACATTTCACACTGTAGTACATCAGAGGCCAGAGTGCAGACGATTTTTTAAAGTAGCCACTAGCCAGTAGGTACCTACATTATTACATTAAAATAAAAGCTCATAGGTACCTACCACTTACCTTTATTCATACATACTAGGGGATCTAGGATTTTTTATGGGGGGTGCTAATGTTAAGGCTTGCTTGTATTCTGTATACTCCATAGTAGTCTATACTGATGGCAAGACATTTTTTAGTCCTCAAAATTAATGTTCTTAAAATTTAAACATAAAAAACAACATTATTTTATATAGCATAGGTTACTTTAGCTATACCGACTATACCCAGAATTTTTTCTTAAACATATAGGTACATATAGGTACGTTTTTCAACGAGTTAAGAATGTGGGTAAAATCATTTCTTTTTACCTGACAGTCTGACACCCTTTTTTCAATTTGGTTGATTTAACGTATGTAGTTAAGTATGCTGGAAACGACGGTAAAGTCAAAATTTAGCTGTCGGACTTAGTTCTGAAATTTTAGATATTTGAAGTTCGAGGTGTTCAAGGCCCTTCCAAAGTGGTTTTACATAATAAAGGATGTTTACGATTTAAATTATCCAAGCGGCAAGCGAGGATAACGAGCGATTGACCATAATTTTTTTTGAAAGTGTCGAATTTCAATGAACAATATTTTTGTTTCGTATAATACATTTATTAAAAGTTGGTCTTAAAATGATCCTAAGTTCTAAGGTTTTTTAAGATTTTATTGGATATAATATGACTGATGACACAATACCCAAGGTGGATGATTATCCACCTTGATAATACCTTAAAACCATATCTACTTTGCTGAAGTTAAAAATTGATAACATACAAGTTTTAACATCGACGGTATGACATCTGAAACTCTGAAATTGTTGAACTAATTAAAGAATTTATTTATTGATTATTTTATTTAAATATTTAGTAATAATTTTGAGTATACATTTGTGATAAATCTAAAAGAGTTTTGATGTCGTAGGTAGGTACGTACTACAAAATATTAGGTACCTACTTGTAAAGTATTTTGAATACTTTTTAAATTTATTTGTATATTTTATGTTTAATTACAAATGAAACCAAGTACTTAATTACGTTTTCTGAATACATTTGAAAAATATTCTTAACAATAAGATTGTATTTAATTAAAATGAGTTGCTGTGTATTGACCTAATATTAGGCCAATGATGCTGTAGCTGTTGATCGGTTTCCCCCTGTACCTACTCACAACCATCAATAGCCATTAGGGTATCTGTATCAACTATAATATATAGGTACCTACCTACTATATTTACCACTTATTATGTTCTTGGCATATTATAAGGTATTAAGGTCAAAGTATACCTTATTATAAGTATTAAGGTCTATGATTCTTATTAAATTGTAAAACATGCTAAATTTAATGTAAAAAAAAATAGGGTGGTAAAGTTTTAATGTTCAAGTTTTTGACGGAATCTACTTTTGTGTTCAAGATGTTGACATTCAACGTTTTGACGGAAACAATTTTTGAGTTCAATATTTTGATGTTCAAGGTTTTGACGGAAATAATTTTTAAGTTCAAGATTTTGAAATTCAAAAGTTACTTATTAGGTGAAAAAGTTACTTATTAGGTGCAAAAGTTACTGGAACAAGTGCACTTTACCACCTAATGCAAATTTTTCGATTTTTTTTTTTGGAACTACCTACTCTATAATGCCGCACGGAGGACTATTTTTGTTATTTTTTTGTACTTACGTATTCTAACCTGTTTAAAACGATAGTGCAATAATAATTTATCCCCCGATTTGCTATAAAACACCTCCCCAAGTGGGTCACAGGGTTAAGAAAATTGCACTTTTGTTGCACCTAGTCATCGAGCGGGGTCACTCGCTCGCTGCGCTCGCTCGGACAATTAAAAATATTCCTCTCCTGGAAGTAGAAATAGTCAATCTGGTTTAAATAAATTCTCGCATTATACCTATAGTAGGTACCTACCTACCTGATAATAATTAATTATAATAATCATTCAATTATAAATACGATTTTAGATTATATTATATTATTTAAGAAACTATATTTTAATACACAATTAAAATGTCATTACGTCAAGTGCTGCGTTCTAGTGAAGTTGACCTCTCTTAGTCCAGTGTTTGTTCACTCGTTTATTTTTTATTTAGTAGTCTCACGAATAAGAAAAAAAAATCGCTCAAAACATGACAAAAAACGCAAAATTGCCTTACTTCCAAGGGCCATAACTTCGAAACTAAGTGAGAGCGACAAATTCTGCCTGCACCATCGTTCTTAACTCGATGAGTTACATAAGTTCCAAAAAAAAAAAAAATCGAAAAATATGCATGGGGTGGTAAAGTGCACTTTAGCCAAGTTACTTATTAGGATAGATACCTACATCCACCGATTTCAAATTAAATATTTTAATTTTTTTATTTAATTTTTAAGTTTTTAACATAATTACTACATCATATAATTACAGTTGGTATTTTTACGAACGATGAAGTTCACGGGATCAGCTAGCGATAAATGAATATACTTAATATGGTTGGTATATATGTATTTATTAAAATATTAATGAGTTTATTGCACTCAAATTTAGTACAAAATGTATAGCTTGGTATCTACTAGGTTTTTTTTCCTCTGCAAGGAAAATTGAGGAACCGTAGATAAGTTATTGGGTATAGAGCAGTGGAAAAATATCTTGTGGGCATGCCACAGAAAAAAATGTTTATTGTTGATTTGCGTTTCTATGAACAAGTATTACACACGCAAAATGAAATACATTGGTTTTGAATACGGTCAAAACTTATAACCGTAGTTATGAATATAATTAAACATTTTGATTCTGATTTACAGCCAATAATTAGTAAAAACAAAGCACCTTATTGGCAGGAAGTAGATTTGTCTACATGCTAAATCGTGCCCATATTATAATTGCCAATTGGTTACCAACGGCTATATTTCGTATAATACTCTATGGACAATGTACCTACTATGTATGACCATGATTCTCACAACGTATTTATAACGTCCTTTGCGGTCATCGGTGGTTCGAAACTCCTTGCGGAGTATACAAATATGTCACCACTCGGTTACTCAACAATGCATTAATGCACTATGCAGCTCCATGGCTCGCTATAATTCATTCGTCATCGTTACCGTTGTTATCGAGATGTTAATAAAACGTTAATTTTGGCTCTGCGTTGAACTAGGTACGGAAAACAATTCAAGAGTTGAAGTTATTAGGATGGTCGTCTGGTACTATTATTTGCCTCCAATAGTCGCGGGCATTATAACTTTATGGGGTAAGCATACATTTTTACAGACCTAATTTATTGTTTATTTTTTTTTTTTTAGTTTTTTACAATATACAATATGATATTACCTATATTTATTATTATAAACATTTATATATTGTATCGAAAGTGAACGCAATTCGTTACTGCCTGCTTGTTACATGAATAATTCTACCTATAGGTTAGTAGGTCTTAATCTTCCTATTTATTCGTGTTGTTAGGTTGTCAATGAATATTTTAATAATATATTATATGCTTACATATTATTTTCGTATACAATTTTAAACATCGTTAGCATATAATATTGACTAACCCAACCATCGAGTAAAATACTTAAATACCTACATCAAAAAAATGTCTCCGTGTATTTTTGTACGCTATATTTTATTTGTTAGTAAAATATTGATCTTATAAAGGTTTTAATTCTTGAAGTAGTAAATCCGCTAGCGTGATTTCCGGAGTTCGAATGTTGGATACAAAATACAAATTACAAATCAATAATATAAAACATAATATTGTCTATAACTTAACTTTCATTGAAATATTATAATTTAGCTGTAAGCTTAAATAATATCGAAAATAAAATAACTCTGAAAACCCGTACTATCATCACCGGGGTACGGGTCGTCGTTACGGCTGGGCATATCTACTGTTATTATTTAAAATTTTATTTTAGGATCCATAACTGATAATTAATTAAATACCATAATATAAATTACAATTAGAAAAATCGTTTTTTTTTTTCTTACTTAGGTACAGTAGTTATTGAGTCATACTAAATATTTGTTGTATTAATAAATTACGTGTTTTTTGTGCTATGTACATATTATTGTATTATCTATATTGGTATTTTAAATTGTGAGCGGAGCGATGAATGTATTGGTTTTACAATGATGAGTGATTTAATTGTTATTTTTGTGTCTGTCATTAATTCTTAGGGCATTAAAATATTCTTAGAAATATCTGCTGGCATGCGACAACATTGGCGCATTTACCATTTTGGTGCAAGTAACGCACTCTATAAAAGTCGCAGATTATGGCCTAATTTATTGCATCTTCTAAATTCAATGTCTTAAGTAAATCATTTTCTATGCATAAGATAAATCGGTTTTCAACAAAATAATTTTCAGTTTAAAATTTAAAAAAATATATTTATAGTTCTCCAAATATGATAATAAACAAATAATAATAATTCAACTTAACCGGCTACCGTATTAATATTAACAATATAATATTTATACTTTAAAATATCTTATGCTGGTAAACCGTATAATTAATATAATATGTAGTACCTACTGCAACATGTATATTTAAAAAAGAATCATCCTGTACAAAGTATATACATTATCCATATCTAGGTGTAAACCTTTTACTGCTTCAAAAGGCGATGACGGACACAAAAAAAAAATATAAAAAATACACATCATAACCATTTAGAATATTCAATACTATTGCTATTAATTATTATTATAATATTACTAATAATATAATTGACAACAACAACTGAAATTTTTAAATAAATAAATTTGATTTTTTTCCTGAACTTATATTTATGACCAACTGCTATGTTCAAATTTAAAAATAATAATTTAATACTTTAATTTAATTTTTTATATATTTATTAATTTTTATTTGACATTTTTTCCGTGACTTTTTTTTCTGACTACCATAAAAACTATTAAAAGCGGTAGTAAATTAAACATACTTCCTCAAGTTCGATCGCTGCAAAATTCAAAAAAATTGTTAAAATTAAAAGCTTCTAGACTACCTATGCTCTTTAGGAATCACATTTTTGATTTAAAATCAGATAATCCCAAAATAAATAAAAATGTAAATTGCTTATGCAATTATTTCATGATGTGATTTTTGAAAAAAAAATTAATTTTAACGTCTTTTAAAATTGAAAATATAAAATCGACTTCCTAAAAATCCTAGACATTTTGTCAAAGAGTTCATACATGTACAAAAAATTAAAATCAAACATTCCATGATACATTTACCACCGCTTATTGGTCTCAAACGATCCTCTTAAAACACTACGTAGGTACGTTAACGTACCCTAACCGTACGCTCGACGATATTTATAGGTAATTCTCAGAATTATCAGCTGCCGCCCACCGCCGCCGCCCACCAACGTACATAATTAATAATATTATAAAAACGATTTTTTTTTAAAAAAAACTATCCGCTGAACAACCTCAGTGCGATATGTAATACAATTTTAGGTCTATTTAATGGAAAAATACACAACATTTGAAGCTGCAGCCAAGTCTCTACCGTGTCTATACACTATAGGTACGTAAATACCTACTAGGTAAATACTCCCTTGACTGGCCGTCACCGTCACCTGACCGTCACCGCGTCGTGTATAGATCATCTATCATTTAAATTTGACTAATTTGAGTTAAAACTTAACACATCTATTACAGTGACTTACTTAATTACGAAGTTGAATATAATAGTTAAAAATGAATTATTAAAATAGTTAGACAAATTATACCACATTCATTTATTGTTATTATATTATAATTTTCAGTGTTGAAAATCTCTTACTTTTTCATAACACGTAGATATAAACAACCAGTAGCTTATCAAAATTCTACTGAAGAAAGCGATGTTTATGGTAGCAGTGAAAATTTATCGTCGTCAGAAAGCTTGAATTTAGAACAAGAAAAAGTAAGTACCTATAAAATATATAAGTACTAAAGTACCTATATTATTGTTTAATTGCTAACTAAACTTACCTAGTTGAATTCTGAAACGAATTTTGTTTCATTATTGTTTTAAAGGCATTCTAATACCAAAATAAATTTTTTCGTTTTAAACCTTACCTAATCTTAATAGATACTAAAAATACAAAACAGATTAATATTAAATGGCAAATTATTTGATAAATTTATATCTGACTATTTATATTTCTTTTGCGTTTTTGTGACACGACCTATTATATATACGTAATATCAATATTTTTTTTCAGAATGACTAATGAAGAGATATTGAAATTCGTTGACACAGATTTGTATAATAAAATATACTGTGACTTACACTATATTAATATATGTATCCCCTCCCCACGATCATACCTTACATACATTTTAAATACCACTTTACAGCAAACATTTCCAAATAGGTAGGTAGAATATACTTTGATAGCAATATCTACATCTTACATTGTTACAGTAGAAAAAAAAATAATAATCTAGGTACCTGTTTATTCAATATACTATAATATAGATAACAAAATTAATAATTATTGTTTTTGATTCAAAAGAGACTACATATTTTGATTAGTATAAAAAAATTAAAAAATTCATAAACACCGATGAATGATACCATAACTGAAACCGATAACATTTCATTCGGAATACGATTTAATATATTACTGTCACACACCACTACACCAGTATCTGTGTCTTTAATAATATGCTTGTATATATGATCTGTGAACTATTGACTATATAGCCATATAGGCAAAACACAGGGTGATATTATAATTAATTAATAAACTCATGTCCAAAAAAATTTTGATATGAAATAGTAAAACTCGTTATATGATTGATATCAATTGAAATTCACATTTTAATAAAAATTATTTCGGACATTAGTTATTTGTACCATCCCCCCGTCTAAGTAAATAAAAATAGTAGGGGTACGCAAAAAAAATAAAAATAGTAGGGAGCTCCGTCCTCCTGCGCACCCTCCCAATTCGAGCACTGCATAGGTACCAATTTCATAACTATTAAATCGTAATTAGGATTGCGACTTCATATAGGGGTGTGGGGGGGTAGGTTTCCTTTTTCCCACTTTTGCTCTATAAAAACATGTTTAATAATTTTTCTACAACTTTGAGGGGAAGGGGGGACCAAACCACTATACCCCCCCCCATTGTGTACACCACATGATTTTTATTTATGTCTTTCTTCACTCATTTTAAAGTGTTGTTAGTTGTTGTACATTAATCAACATTTAAGTATGGGTATTAATTTTAAACTCATGATAAAATATAAATATATAATATTATAATCTTTGATTTGTTAATAGAAAATGGTGGATATCAATAAAATTACGAGATGTAGTAGCTACGGTTCAACTGAAGATGAAATGCAGGAAAGTAAGAATTATACTACAACTCAAGATGTTTTGGACACTTTTAAATGTAATTCTGATTCTAATTCATCGATTATGTCATGGGAGTCATGTCATGAAGGAATCAGCCACTCTGAATTGGACTTTGTAAATTGCTCGTCTTTAGAAAATCATCCAGAAATATGTCAACCGCTCAATCTATGCATGAGGGACAAAAAAAATGAAGTGTGTTTAAGTTTTCCATATACCTACTATATTATAATGTCTACCTATTCAAGTGTATTGTTTTAGTTGACAATTTATGTTTAAATAAGATTTGAATGAAATAAATATATTTTTATTTATCACTTATTTTTGTAGACAGGGACAATTAATAAGATAACTAGAACATTTTTCACGGACAGAAAACATAAGAGCATAAAAGGCATACCAGAGAAAACCCCGGAAAAATATTTAGGAACAAAAATGATTGAAGATTATGATCAAGTACGATAAAAATATAACATGCTTTAATTCATTAGAAAAACTGTATAAATAAATTTAAAAAGTGAAAACTTTAATTTCTTTAGTACTTCAGATTGTTCTAAAAGTATAGAATAAACTGAAGAATGAATTTGATATTTTGAAGCACACTAAAATATTATACAAATATCAATATTAAATATACACGTTATAAAACAGTAATATAATCAGTGATGTAGACAGGAGTTTTCAATTTTGTATGGGGGGGGGGGATAAGTATTTGCATTTGTATACTTACTATGTCTTTTATTTACACTTTTAATTTTTTTATTAATCTTGTTAAAATTCTAAGGTCATCACGGTCAATGGGATGGGGGGGGGGCTAAAGTCCCCTTAGCCACCCCCCTGGCTACACCACTGAATATAATTGTTATTTTTGTTTTTGTAAAGCTCCTCCTTAGATTATGAAAAATTAAAAAATGTAGACTGTTTTGAAAATAAAGAAGTATAGTTACCTAATTATATATTTATAGATAATTAGGTTATCCAAATTGTTTTCCAGTTGGTCATTATTTGGTGTGTGCTATATAAAAAAATTTACTTATTTTTTAGAACACACTAAATAATGACAAACTAGGATACAATTTGGATATTGGATAACACAGAAGTATGTAATATTATAAATAAATTGAGTATGTACATAAATTATATTAATTTTTAATTATTATAGTATGAGCTCAAGAATAAAAACAAATTGGAGATAACAAAAGTATACATATAATATGAATAATATCACAATAAAACAAATAGCTATAATATTCGTTACATTTTCTTATAATTATTCTAGATATCTGCTAAACATCATGATGAATTAAAGGATGAATACAGTTTGGATATGACAGAAGTATGTAATATTATTTATAAATATCAACTAAATGAGTACATAAATTGTATTAATTTTTGATTATTATAGTATGAGCTCAAGAATAGAAACAAATTGGAGATAACAAAAGTATACATATTATATAAATTTAAATATCACAATAAAACAAATATGTATTTTCATTAAATTTTCTAAAACTATTGTAGCTCTCTTCTAAAGATAATGAAGAATTAGAGGATGAATACAGTTTGAATAACAGAGAAGTAAGTAATATAATATATATAAATATCAATTAACCGAGTAAATAAATTGTATTTATTTTTGATTAATACAGCAAGAACTCAAAGATGACAACAATTTGGAGATCTCGGAAGTAAACATTTATAAATTTAAATATCGAAATAAAACAAACAAGTATATTCATTCAATTTTCTTATAATTATTCTAGACCTCTTCTATACATTGTGATGAATTAAAGGATGAATACAGTTTGGATATGACAGAAGTATGTAATTTTATTTATAAATATCAACTAAATGAGTACATAAATATTGTATTTATTTTTGATTAATACAGCAAGAACTCAAAGATGACAACAATTTGGAGATCTCGGAAGTAAACATTTATAAATTTAAATATTGAAATAAAACAAACAAGTATATTCATTCAATTTTCTTATAATTATTCTAGACCTCTTCTATACATTGTGATGAATTAAAGGATGAATACAGTTTGGATATGACAGAAGTATGTAATATTATTTATAAATATCAACTAAATGAGTACATAAATATTGTATTTATTTTTGATTAATACAGCAAGAACTCAAAGATGACAACAATTTGGAGATCTCGGAAGTAAACATTTATAAATTTAAATATTGAAATAAAACAAACAAGTATATTCATTCAATTTTCTTATAATTATTCTAGATCTCTTCTATACATTGTGATGAATACAGTTTGGATATGACAGAAGTATGTAATATTATATAATATATAAATATCAATTAACCGAGTACATAAATTGTATTTATTTTTGATTAATACAGCAAGAACTCAAAGATGACAACAATTTGGAGATTTTGAAAGTACACACTTATACATTTAAATATCACAATAAAACTAACAAGTATATTCATTCAATTTTCTTATAATTATTCTAGATATCTGCTAAACATCATGATGAATTAAAGGGTGAATACAGTTTGGATATGACAGAAGTATGTAATATTATTTATAAATATCAACTAAATGAGTACATAAATATTGTATTTATTTTTGATTATTATAGTATGAGCTCAAGAATAGAAACAAATTGGAGATAACAAAAGTATAAATATTATATAAATTTAAATATCACAATAAAACAAATATGTATTTTCATTAAATTTTCTAAAACTATTGTAGCTCTTTTCTAAAGATCGCGAAGAATTTGAGGATGAATACTATTTGAATAACAGAGAAGTAAGTAATATTATATATATAAATATCAATTAACCGTGTACATAAATTGTATTTATTTTTGATTAATACAGCAAGAACTCAAAGGTGACAACAATTTGGAGATCTCGGAAGTAAACATTTATAAATTTAAATATTGCAATAAAACTAACAAGTATATTCATTCAATTTTTTTAAAATTATTCTAGATCTCTTATAAAGATTGTGATGAATTAAAGAATGAATACAGTTTGGATATAATAGAAGTATGTAATATTATTTATAAATATCAACTAATTGAGTACATAAATTGTATTAATTTTTGATTATTATAGTATGAGCTCATGAATAAAAACAAATTGGAAATAACAAAAGTATAAATATTATATAAATTTAAATATCACAATAAAACAAATATGTATTTTCATTAAATTTTCTAAAACTATTGTAGCTCTCTTCTAAAGATCATGAAGAATTGGAGGATGAATACAGTTTGAATAATGGAGAAGTAAGTAATATTATACATAAATATCAATGCATCAATTTAATTTATTTTTGGGGTATTTTAGAATTCTTCAAACGATGATCATGTGATGCTTGCAAATGTTCTGGAGACAACTGGAGTATGCATATATAAACTTTTAACATTAATAAATTAAATAATTACATAAATATATTTTAACTGTTGTAGGTCTCTCCTATATATCAGGATGGGCAAACATATGATGACAAGTTTTTAACAAGCCCGGAAGTATGTACCATATTTATAAATATTAATACGTTAGGTACAACCATATTATTTTATTTTTATTATTATAGCTCTCCTCCTTAAATAATGAAAAAAGCATTTCTGGTATTGATAGTCCTGTAAGTATACTTTAAATTAGATAGTTTTATTATATGACAAAATTGTTTATGATTATTGTATTACATCAGATGTCAATAAAATATTTAAATAAATTTTAAATTTATAGTATTATTGTTTAAAATGGATAAGCCATTACAGTTTTAAATTAATTGTTAATAAAAATAAAGCTGATACTACACGTATTTTATAGAATATCAAATTTCATCATGATGAGGTTGAAGACATCAATGGATGTCGCAATACTTGTTCATCTGAATGTACAGAATCATTACCGAGTCCTATATTCAACAACGATGATAACGATTCAATCGATGATATTCGGGTAAGCATAACTAATTACATACTTTAAGAATTTCATAAAAGCAGAAAGATAATATCCCTTGTGTAATCCTAATTTGTAAATGTTGCTACAAATTCCAACATTCTATATAGTTATGAAATACTGAAATTTAAAAATTAATCAATATTGTACCTCTAATATAAATAATATGTATACATTATACCGTGTAGGATATGTATTTAAAATTTCACAAGAGCCAGTGACATTAAATAAAATATGGTTTGGTTTGAATTAATTATGTTTTTGGGTAATATTTGAAAACAGAGTTAATTAATTACAAATATTGAAATATGTAGGTACCCATTTTTTATTACTTTATTGACCCGTTAGGTTGTAACAGTTAATTCTTTTAACTGTTTAGATTGTTATGTACTAGGAAAGTTATACTGTGCAGTGGTTTCCCGTTAACTTCTGCACAGGTAAATATAAATAGGTAGTAATAATATTTTAATATAGATTTAAGTTTTTTTAATCCATACATATCATAACATCAAGTAATTTTTTTTTTTAAATTTCATAAAATATACCAACTGCCAAGATTCATATTCGATAAAATTATTAGTTTTGGCATAAAGTAATATTGTAGAATCTAAAATCTAAATGTATACAAGTTGGATTTATTTTCTTCATTCTGAATGGTCTTAGTAATGTAGTCCATGTTCTATTCATAATTACTATCTAATTTATTTTGTAATTTTCAGTATGTGGAAGACTACAGCGATATTAGTTTTTTTGATCCAACGTTATCAGATGATGCCTTGAATGAAGCTTTTGTAATCGTAGAAGATATCTAAAAATTTCAAGCTATTGTATTTTTTGTATTAAGATGAATTTATAAAAATTAACAATTTTACTAAATGAAAACCCCAGAAATTTATAAATTCTGAATACATTTTTATAAGCCATAATATGCAATACATGTCTAGTTAATAAATATATTATATTCTCTCTCATTCATATTCTTTAAATTTATTCAAATTATTTAACACACCATCAACAATATTGTAAAAAACACATTAAATATAATTAATAGATAAAAAAAAAAGGTAATTGATAAGAGTAACTTCTGATAGATCTTAAAAATATTTAGGAGAAACAATATATAAAATTCCATCATGCATAATAAAGCTATAAACACTATTTTGCATTTTAAATATAACTTACAAGTAATATAATACATAATATATCATTAAAAAATTATGATGTAAGATTAAGAAATATTAAGTTATATAGGTTAAAAAAAATAATGAAAGGTTACGAATAAAAAGATTTTACTACAATTTTAATTCTTACTAAATCATATTAACCAACATTTAATTGTCTTCATCTTCACTGTTTGAAGTTTTTTTCATTTTTCTAATTTTTTCTCGTTCACACTTGGGACACACATTTTTCTCTTTATAACAATTGCTATGGAATAATGATTTGCAATGGCGACACTAGAAAATAATTTTATTAATATTTTATGGATATTAATATAAAAATGTTTTATTCAACATTATTTGATTATTTAAGAAGTAGGTTAACGACAAAATCAGTTGCGTACAAGTGGAGGATTTTAGTGTTCAACTTCTCCAACTAATTTATTTTTCTTAACAGTCTTGTTTAGGGGATTTGATACCGTGATTTTATGTTTTGTCAAGTCTACTTGAAATCAACTTTCCCACATTCTTGATTTTTTGATTTTAAAACTTGATTCTTTCAAAAATTGAAATTAGACTATTTTTAAATACTTTTTTTTAATTTAACATTTTTAGGAATTTGGGGGATCATATTAAAAATGTTGGTAAGTAAATTTAAAGTAGACTTGACGACAAATTCAAATCGGTTTTCAGAATTCATAACACTTCATTAGACTAATTGGTATGTTTGGCAAAAAACACATCTAAAATACTATGTCGGCATGTGTAAAACAGAAAAGCACGGTGTCGAATCCCCTTAAGAATACTTTTCAAATGTATTCAGAATACGTGTTTAAATACTTAGCGTAATTTGTATTTAATATGTATTCAAATTTCAAATACTTTCTTTTAATAGTATTTAAATATAAATACAAATACCTTTTAAAAGTATTCAAAATACTTACACAAATACTTTTTTTTAAAGTTCAATAACATTAATACCAATATTTTATATTACAAATATTAACTACTACCACCTATCAAATATCAAGAAAAACTATTTAAAGAATCAAGATAAAAGCCAATCCAACCAATGGTGATCAGTGTTCCATAATTCTGTTATCGGCTTGTATTTTGGTGAAACCTTATTTATAAATTCTCAGAAGTTGGAACCATTATAAAATAATATTTTGGAAAAAAAATTTAAAATAATATATTCCGAAATATTGGTATGTAATTAGAATTTGGAGTAGACCACTAGAATGAAAAAAAAATATTTAGTATTCTAGAATAAAAATACAAATAAGAAGTTATTTTTTTAGTATTTAAAATACATTGGCAAAAAGTATTTAAAAACATAATACCTATTCATACATTTATTAGTTGGCTTGCGCACAGCAGTGGCCGAAGTGATTTGACCTGCGAGTGTCCGTCGTCAATTGTAAAATCAGTAGATTTTCACCAATAGTCAATATGGTAATGAATGGCCGATAGAAATTTCAAATATGATCAGCCACAGCCATAAAAAAAGACTAGTGTCAACGACGGGTTGATACCAGTGTTCAACGTGTTAAAAGTTACTACCCAAAATTGGAATTGCTGAATACAAATTTGCTATGTCTTCAGGGTTGTATTTAAACCCCTCTACCAAAAAAAAAAGAAGTTACTAGACTATTTTGTTATATACAATGTAAGCCCACAGAAAATTGAACCAGTTATCTATGCTACCTCCACTATCATAATATTGGAAAATTATATGTATTGTGTTTGTGTCTAGTTTATTATTAATTATGAGCATAAAAATGTAACAAAATGTAATATAACTAGCCTATAAATATTAATATTTCATTTATTAGTTATTTCTTAAAACTTTAGTAAAACCAATGTTAAAAAATAAACAAATTGTAGTTTTCATAAAAATAGTGTAAGCCAAACAAAAATTAATACCAAGATAAATTAATAAGCATTTTTTTTCTTATTGTAAACAATTGTTATTCCGCATAATTTACTTACCCGATAGTTATCTCCTAAGTCAAACGGGTAGATAATTTTTGGGTTGCGACAAAGTTCACATATAAAACCTTTTTGACTGCACACTAAACAATTATGAACGTGGTTTCGGCTAGTTTCAATCTTACGTTCAAGAAACTCAAATAAAGTACCAGAATAGATCTCTAGAAGGTCCTGAAAAAAGTATTAAGTAATAATTAAAAGATAAATTAAAGTTATGAGCTTTATGTCTAATTGATTTTAAAGAACTTACGGCAAATGAGTACAGGTGAATGTTATTAAAGAAATACACACGGGGCCATATATCTTTGGACAATTCATCAATGTTGTAAAACTTGCAAGTAGACAAATAATGGTATAGGTAGTAAATTTGCCACCGTAATTTCTATAACATAATAAATTAATATTCAAGTACAATTTTAATTTTGCTAGTCATCACTAAAGAGCTGATTTTTAGGTTCATTAAAAGTTTAAAATATGCTCTAAAACAACCATTAAATAATCTCTTAATAATCCTTAAGGAGCCTTGCTACTGCAGTCAATTTTAGTTGAAAAGACCCCAAATTTTGACAAAATTAAAGTAAGTTTATGTTGTCCGATTTTGATTCTGAAAAAAAATTAGTACTTCGCAGAAAAGTTTCTAGAGATTGTATGTAACACTTAGTAAAAATTAATTTTATATAATTGTGAACTGTAATTGAAAACTTGAAAATATGAGTATTTTCAAATCATTGTTAAAATTAAAAATGGAATGTGTTTTGTACAATCTATAGACATTTTTCTGCTGAATTCAAATATTTTTTCAGTATCAAAATCAGACAACGTTAACTAACTTTAATTTTGTCAAAACAATAAGTAAGTTGTGGTAAAATTTGTATTGTGAATTTTATATTGTTATCGAGGTATTGATATGTGCATGCAAGAGTGGTACAACAAAATATTTTCAACAAGGGAAATTAACAAATGAGATTTTTTTATCAACAAATAATACAATATATTCTTAAATATGACTTATAGGTTGTCAATTTTCTTATCTCAAAAATATGCAAAATACATTTTTTGCTACAAATTCTTTACTAGATAAGTTTTTAACCCTCGTCGAATTGCATAAAGTCAATAAATACAGGGTCTGGCAAAAAGACTTCCCGTATTTAGAGATTGCGCTGTGAGTTATGGTGGAGGGGGATAGCGGTATACATGTAATTTTCAGTATACATAATGATGTGGAACGATAAACATTAGACAATTCCAGGGCAGCTGCATATTTAAATGCTAAACGTCTATAGATTGCTAGATGGACGCACCTCACAAGCGACACATTTATAAATGCGCAATGTTCACCATTCCGTCCCCTAAAATGGTATGGTAGTATGGTACGTATACTGCAATCGATACGACCCTTTTCATCGATGTGTCACTACCACAACTCACATCTCTAAATATGGGAAGTATTATTGCTCGACCTATATATTATGTAAAAATCTAAATATCTTTCCAGTTATCACTTAACATTTTATCCTTACTTTTGATTTGTTCATTTCCTTGTTGGCTTTGTACAGTTTATGATGTATACTCCTCATGTTAAACAATGGGTGGTATTGTATTTCACTTAGAAACGTTGAACTACTATTGGACACCGGATATCGGTTGAAATCCCAATTGAACAATGTTTTTACAGGTATTGCCCAAGTTTCTGATCCAAAACAGTGTACGCAGTAATAACATGCCGTGAAATTGCATTTACTAAAATTCAATAATTAAAGCAAGCATCATAAAAATATGATTGTATATAATCTATGCAAGTGAAACTTTAAGCTCTTATTTTACTTACAAATATTCCCCAAAATCGATGCCTATCGTTTCGTTGCAACTTTTACACATAAAATCTTGAGAATTTAAGCCAAGTTCCTTTGGAGGTGTAAACAAATATTCCAAATATTGTTTTAAAAGCTATCGATAAAACCAAATTATAAAAATAAACATAGTTAAGAAAAATACATATAATAAGTAATAATACTTACATCTAAACTCAAACGTTCAGGATGCATTGATACCTCAACAAAAGAATCGTCATCCTATATAAAATCATATTAGAATTATTAGGTAAATGTTAAATAATTATTGCAATAATATTTATAAAGTAGTTATTTACAATTTTGTTATATTTACATCATCTATAGTTTCAGGCTCAGTGAAATGCTGTTCTTCAATAATATGTGGGACAGTCAATTGTTTGTACAAATCTTCCATTTTAGAGCTGACAGACGAACTCTTCATTCTCAAATTATATGATTCTAATAATTCATTGAAACTCTGGACATCATATTTTGCTTCATTATTAGGTAAGCTTTCGGTTTTCTGTTCACTAGTTGGTATCTCTGATGAACTTTCCTCTTCTTTTACTATATCATTAGGTTTTGTTACTGAAATTTCACAACTAGAAAAGTTTTCTTTCAATACATCAACAGAATGTGTATCTTTGATAAGACTAGGTGTTGCATAAGAAGTAGAAGGTTGCTTCATTATCATTTGCCACACAGTTTCTTCGTCCATTGTAATGGGGGGTTTACGTGAAAAATCAGAATCAACAAATGACGAAGATAAAGATGATGTAAAACTTTCTTCTGATCTATTATGATCATTTATAAGTATTGCTTCATCAG